ACAAAATAGAAAAAGTTTATGAGAAAGCAGCAACGAACAGCAGCAGCAGCAGCAGCAGCAGCAGCAGCTGACGACAACGAGGCCCAATGGACAAGCATAAAGAAGCAGAGAAGGGGGCTGTCTTCTCCCCTTTCTCTTTTCTCTTTTTTTGTTTTTTTTTGTATTTTTAATCAATTATAATAATATAAAATAAAAAAAGAAGAGACGCATCTGCTGCTGCTGCTGCTGCTGCTGCTGCTGCTGCAGCAGCAGCAGCAGCAAACCGCCGTACACCGCCCTGAACCAGGAGACACTCAGGGCCGCTCTCATCTGTCTCCTTGTAAACCCTAAACCCTAATCCTCATTGTTTCTGGTTTTAGGGTTTTAGGGTTTAGGGTTTAGGGTTTAGGGTTTAGGGTTAGGGTTTAGCGTTTAGGGTTTAGGGTTTAGAGTAAGGGTTAGGTTTTAGGTTTTAAGGCCTAGGGCTTGGGTTTAGGGTTTAGGGTTTAGGGTTTAAGGTTTAGGGTTTAGGGTTTAGGGTTTAGGGTTAAGCGACAGAGAGCTAGTAGGAGGAGGCAACAGCAGCAACACAGCTGCTGCTGCTGCTGCTGCTGCTGCTGCTGCTGCTGCTGCTGCTGCTGCAGAGAGGAGACACTTACACACTGTAATAGAAAGAGACAGAGAAAAAGAAGAAGACAGAAACAGCAGCAGCACTGCTGCTGCTGCTGCTGCTGCTGCTGCTGCTGCTGCTGCTGCTGCAGGGAAGAGACAATTAGGCTTCTTAATAAAAACAGACAGAGAAGCAGGAGACAAAGACAGCAGCAACACAGCTGCTGCTGCCGCTGCTGCTGCTGCTGCTGCCGCTCCAGCTGCTGCTGCCGCTCCAGCTGCTGCTGCTGCAGAAAGGAGACACTTATGCACCTCAGTAGAAGGAGACAGAGAAGCAGAAAAAGAAAGAAACAGCAGCAACACAGCTGCTGCTGCTGCTGCTGCTGCTGCTGCTCCAGCTGCTGCTGCTGCAGAAAGGAGACAGTTATGCACCTCAATAGAGGGAGACAGAAAGAGCAGCAGCAACAAACGAGGAGACAGCTCAGCCTGCTGTCTCTAAACTTCTTTTTATTGTCTCCCTTTTTTGTATGCAACAAACAAACAAACAAGCAGCAGCAGCAGCAGTAGCAGCAGTAGCAGCAGCAGCAGCAGTAGCAGCAGCAGTAGCAGCAGTAGCAGCAGCAGCAGCAGCAGCAACAGCAGCAACTTCTCTCCTTCATCTTCTTTAGGCTTTCTGCTGCAGCCAGTAGACAACGGGGAGGTTTAATATATTCTATAAGAGGAGGAAACAAGACATTGCTGCTGCTGCTGCTGCTGCTGCTGCTGCTGCTGCAGTTGCTGCTGCTGATGCCGCTGCAGTTGCTGCTGTTGCTGCTGCTGCCGCTGCTGCTGCTGCAGTTGTTATTATTGCTGCTACAGTAGCTGCAGTTGCTGCTGCTGCAGCTCTTGCTGCTGTTGCTACAGTTGCTGCTGCTGCTGCTGCTGCTGCTGCTGCAGCGAGGAGACAGAATAGCAGCTGCCTGTAGGGGGCCCCCATTTGTTTAGGGTTTAGGGTGTTTTGTTTTTGTGTATTTTTTGTTTATTATTTAATTTATTTGTGTTTTGTTTTAAACAAAAAAAACAAAAAGGAGACAGTTGCTGCTGTCTCCTCCCCGGCAGACAAACTCATCAATAAGGAGACACGGCTTCTTTCTGTCTCCTTTTGTTTTTTTTTGTTTTCTTTTGTTTTCTTTTTGTCTCTTTTTGTTTTATTTTTTTGTCTCCTTTTGTTTTTTTTTGTTTTCTTTTTTTGTCTCTTTTTGTCTCCTTTTGTCTTCTTTTTGTCTCTTTTTGTCTCCTTTTGTCTCCTTTCTGTCTCTTTTTGTTTTCTTGCTGTCTCCTTTTGTTTCCTTTTGTCTCCTTTCTGTCTCCTTTTGTTTTATTTTTGTCTCTTTTTGTCTCCTTTTGTCTCCCTATAGGAGACAGTGAAGTAAAGAAAGAGAAGGAGACAGTAACACCGAAAAAGGAGACAAAAAAAAACAAAGAAGGAGACAAAAAAAAACAAAAAAGGAGACAAAAAAACAAAGAAGGAGACAGCAAAGACACTGAAGGAGACACCTCATCCACTTCTTTATAATATAAAAAAATTAATATATATATGTACATATATATATATATATATATATATATATATATATATATATATATATATATATATATGTATGTATGTTGTTTAGGGGGAGAGCAGCAGCAGGTGTATCAGCAGCAAGGAAGATGGGGATACACCCCGTCATCGATTGGCTGTATCTTGCAGCAGCAGCAGCAGCAACAGCAGCAGCAGCAGCAGCAGCAACAGCAGCAGCAGAAGCAGCAGCAACAGCAGCAGCAGCAGCAGCAGCAGAAGCAGCAGCAGCAGCAGCAGCAACGAACTAGAGCAGGAACAGCAACTAACAGCAGCAGCAGGTCTTTGCTGCTGCAGCAAGTCGTTCGATGCACTCGAGGCAGCAGCAGCAACAGCAGCAGCAACAGCAGCAGCAGCAGCAGCAGCAGCAGCAGCACTGTGTATCGCAAGCCATGGGACCCGGCGGCAAGCAGCAACAGCAGCAGCAGCTGCAGCAGCAGCAGCAACGAGGAGACAGCTGAGGGGGAGAAGGAGACAGTTTAGGAGACAGCAAGACAGAGGAAGCGACCGCTGGGAGAGACAGCAGCTGCAGCAGCAGCAGCAGCTGCTGCTGCTGCTGCTGTTGTTGTTGCTGTTTCTGTTACTGCTGCTACTGGTGTTGCTGCTGTTGCTGCTGCTGTTGCTGCTGTTGCTGCTGCTGCTGCTGCTGTGCTGCAGTCTCGAGGGGTTGTTGTGTTGCTGCGGGTGTATCTCTGGCTATGCATGTGTTTTATATTATTATATTTCGTTGATATATAAAATAAATAAATAAAATAAAAATAAATTAAATAAATATATTATAATATGTTTAATTAATATATATAACCCTCTCTGTTGCTGCTGCTGAGAGCAGGTGTGCCGCTGCTGCTGCTGCTGCTGCTGCTGCTGCTGCTCCCCCCACTGCAGCAGACAACAGTATAGATGCAGGGCGGTGTTCTGCTGCTGTCTGGGGTTTTGTTGACGAGATAAATATATAAAATATATAAAAATAAATAAATAAAAAGAAAATAAATGTTTATAAGTGAGAGAGATACAGAGAACTGAGGTGTATGTACACCTGGGGGGCCAGCCGGCTTGCGGGGTGTTGCTGCTGCTGCTGCGGTGTATAGGGAGGTCCTTCTTTTGGTTTTTTTTCCGCTAATATTTTAATTTTATTATTTATAATTAATAAATAAATAATATAATTAATTATTTAATTATTTTTCTCCCTTTTCTGCCGCTAGTAGTATGCTGGAGCCGCCCCCCTGCTGCTGCTGCAGCAGCATACCGCACCCCTGCAGCGAGCCAGCCCCCCAGTCACACCGAGGCAGCAGCAGCAGCGGCAGCAGCAGCAGCAGCTGCAGCAGCAGCAGCAGCAGCAGCAGCTGTCTCGAGAGCGCCTTTGCTGCTGCTGTTTGTTGTTTGTGTGTGGTGGATCGTTGCTATCTCATCATCTCCTCTTTCTTTGTTTTCTCTTTTGTGGGGTTCTGCTGCTGGCCCCCAAGCAGCAGCAAGCAGCAGCAAACAGCAGCAAGCAGCAGCAGCAGCAGCTGCAACAGCAGCAGCAGCAGCAGCTGCAGCAGCAGCAGCAACAGCAGCAGCAGCAGCACCCTCGCTGTTGCTTCTTGCTGCCCTTCTCTCTTTCTCTTTATTGTCTCCCTGGCTCGATAGATAAGCAGTGTTGCTTCCTTCTTTATCTGTTGCTGCTGCTGCTGCTGCTGCTGCTGCTGCTTCCCCGTTGTTGCTGCAGCACCAGCAGCAGCAAGCTGCTGCAGGCACCCAATAGTAGCAGCAGCAACACCGGGTCAGCCATGTGGCTTCCAGGTGTATCAGCAGCAGCAGCAGCAACAACAGCATCAACAGCAGCAGAGGTACCTCCTGCTGCTGCTGCTGCTGCTGCTGCTGCTGCAGCAGCAGCAGGAGACGATAGTCAAGGCCGATCCCCCTGCAGCATATCATCAGCAGCAGATGCTCTTTTATGTGAGTCTCCGAGTCCTGCTGCATCTCTTGTATTACCATTGGGGGCCCCTGGGGGCCCCCCAGGGGGCCCCCCCCCCGGGGGGCCCCCCCCCNCCCCCCGGGGGGGGGGGGGGGGCCCGGGGCCGGGGGCCCCCTGGCCGCAGCACAACCTATTGGGTCTCCTCAGTACCCTTTTACTCAATCAACAAGCCCAGTGAATGCAGCAGAGAAGAAGATGCTGCGGCTGCCGCCGCTGCTGCAGCTGCAGCGGGGAGGAGACAGTTGGTACCGAGGAGACAGTTCTTCTGTTGCTTCGTCAACTGGGTGTAGCCCCACAGGAGGAGCAGCAGCAGCAGATGCTGCTGCTGCTGCGCTGCTGCTGAGGAGGAGACTCACTACCAGCCTGGGGGGCATGGAGAGCCCATGTAGGGGCCTCAGGGGCCTCACGCATGCACTTGCTGTTGAGGGTACTGATGAGGGGGCCCCCTTTGCTGCTGTTGCTGCTGCTGCTGCTGCTCACGAGATAAACTCTAATATTGAGCTGCTGCTGCAGCCGACGAAAGATGCTGCTGCTGCTGCAGCGCAGCAGCAAACAGAGCAAAGCCCCAGGTCGCTGCTATGGCCGAAGCAGGAGCAGCAGCAGCAGCAGCAGCAGTTGCTGCAGCAGCAGCAGCAGCAGCAGCAGCAACAGCAGCAGCAGATCTTGCACTTGCAACTGCAGCAGCAACAGCAGCAGCACCAGCATTTACAACTGCAGCAGCAACAAGACACAGCAACAACAGCAGCAGCAGCAGCAGCAGCA